AGAAGCAGCTAACTTCTAAATATGCGTTAAAAGAAGTTTGATTTTTAACAGTGTTTTATCTATCTAGATTTAAATATTCAGAACTCTCTTTCAAATACTCACTGGGGCACTTACTTGAATATAAACATTTTGTTTCTTTCCAACAACTTAGCAATACCCTGAAAAGATTATAATGGGCACATCACTAGAAGAGATGTATCACTTTTATCATTAGTTATTAAATCTATGAGAAGAGGGACCATTGGGACTTTTTAAACACCTAGGATTTATAAACATATAGTGGTTGTCAAAGTTTCTACAAAATCAGTTTTTCCTAAACTCCCAGATGAACTGTTGTCCTGTTGAGGTAAAAGACTGTCCTAACACATTGTCTTTCCATTCATTACACATAATCCACCATCTCTTAGGCATTGGAAAGATTGGAAAAAAGGATTGCTGGCTGGGGAGCAGGTGGTTGCTTTGCCTCAGAGTTCAGCAGCCCTTGTAGCAGGGAAATAAAGGAGGTCATAGAGGAAGACAGCATCCAGTGCCAGCCACAGGACTCTTGAACAAGAGAAACAGCACTGACCAGAACCACACATTACCAACACTGATTGAGAATTATTTATTAAGGTCCAATTAGTTAGCTTTTAATTTCCAATAGTTCACATCTCCTCTATAAAAATAGGCACATCAATAAAAGTCCACCATCTTTTCTTTAGCATCCAGTATAAAATGTTCTGCATTTTGTATAAAGTGTGTGCAAATGCCTTTCTACTAACTGATTCCCTACATTCTTTTCATCATGGCCCTTTTACAAGTCTACCCTCTCTTCCAACACTAACCACAAACTGGCTTTCTCCTTCCTAGACAGTCATTGTTCCTCAAGTCTTCTTTCTCTTAGACATTCTCCTGACCTCCCCAAACCTACTTCAAGACTCTGTTACTTCTTCATTGCATGTTCCAAGAAACTGATTCAATCACTATTTTCTTGGACAATGTATTGAGCACTTTTCACCTAATATGGCAGGAATCCATGAGGGGTAATTCCTAAAGAACAAACTTCAGCCAGTCACATACTGACACTTTGCTACAGAAAGGCTCCAAGCCATTTAATACATCAATCCTTATTCACTTGACATGTTTGATTTCTTTGCATTTCCTTCAAAAATTTCTTCTACATTACAGCTGTGGCTACCTAGAGCTGGATAACCTAAAAAAAAATTGGAATTGCTAGATATATTAGGGTGTCTTACTTATTATGACAATTGACTGTTTCTAATTCATTTTATTATATTAAAAAGTCACTCTCAACTAAAGTAACCATTGCATTTCTTTTGTACAAAGGTAATTTAACTGCCTTTCCTTACAAGTGCCACTTACACAGTGCAATAGCAGGAAATCTTTTCATAAAAGGTAAAAGACTAAGAAGACATTTCACATTTAAAAAAAAATCCTTCATGGGAATAGGTTCCTAAGTAAATAATCAATTATGTGGACAAAGTTTTATGTACACAAAATTTCTGAAATATTGAAAATTAGAAATAACCTAAATAATCAGTGATATGGGAATGGTTAAATGAACTGAGTTGCATCTGTTAAATGGAATATTATATAGCCACTAAAATTATCATTTTGTAAAAAATTTAATGCCATAGAAAAATCTGGCAATTATGAAATGAAAAAAAAACTAGCTATAAAACTGTTTACAGTTTAATCCCAATTATGTAAAAACATATATAATATACATACAGTTATACATGCAGGGAGCTGTTAAAGATGGTTACTTCTAGGTTGTGATATTATTGGCAATCATTTTTTCTTGTTTACACATTTCTGTTATTTTCAAGTTTTCTACAGTATGTATTATTTTATAACTTGGAAAAACACAGGCTATTAAAAACTTCCTCTGATGTACTGGCAATATTAATGTACTCAGGTATTTTAAATGTGCAGGAAAAGTATTACTGTGCTTCATTTTCTATGACTTTTTAGGGTACATATTCTTTTGGCAATAAACTTACAGTTTTTGTTTTATACTTGTTACAACACTTTAATAAAAATGTAATATTGTGAGTACAGCATTGTTTCTTTCAGAGCCTAAATAGATACTGGTTTTGACAACTAGTTTCTTCTATTTTCTAGAAGGTGTAAAATTAGTATCTTTTTATCTTCGTAAGTGAAGCATACCACATACATATATTGCCTGCATGCTTTCTAAAAAAATAATTCTAATTTACAGTTTTCTTACATAAGGAAAAAATTGAAATTATGGTAGTTTAAGTCTATAGCCTTATCCATCACAACATACTGGTAGGCATAAACATGTTTATTAAATGAAATGTATCCTTCAGAAATAAAAGGGAAGCCTGTACGTAAATGAAGTTGTGGACTCAATTAGTCAGACTTTATTCTGACTTGCACCAAACCACACAAAATTTTTTAAAGTCTAGTTAGTGTAGTTTAAATAGACACTCCAGAGTCTATTCCTGAATTCCATCATAAGAACTCCACTTTCTATTTTCAAAAGGAATGGGGATCAGGATGAGGGTTGTCACATAAGCTAATTTTTCTATATATCAAGTCTCACGGGGTCTAGGAACAAATACTGCCATTGGTTAGTGTTTAAGTACACAAGTGTCTTTCTTTCCTCTCTTGCTCCCCACCTTGCCCTAGAAACTGGGTGGGGAGCGGCTGTTCATCGCTCTATAGAAGACAGCTGGCTTCTCATCTTAGTTTCCTTTCTAAACCACAGAGTGGTCATTGCTGTGAACTCCAGCCAAGATGGTGTGGTTGAGGGAGGAAGCCGAGCGGTCAGAGCCTTCCGTGGGGCCGTTGGTGTTCTCGCTGCGCTGGCAGCACAGGATCTGCCTGAAGGTGGCGCTCATCTCCTTGTCTCGGTAGGAGTAGATGATGGGGTTCATGGCAGAATTGAACTCCGCAAGGAGGAGGAAAAATTTCTCATAGGCCAGAACGTCACACTGTGGGCAACACACGTCCAGCAGCAACAAGACCAATCCTGGGGTCCAACAGATGATAAAGGCACCTGAAAGGACAGGGGGAGAAATCAGGAGGAATAAAAAAAGAGAATGAAAAATATAGGTATGAAACGTGCAACCATAAAGCGATTTCAGATCAGTCCAAAAACACTCATATTGGAAGCTACCAGTCATCATTGCAAATAAAATATGAAATACTCAGAAAAAAATTTAATGACAATAACATTTCATTAATTTGGATCCTACTAATGTTGACTATGAGTCAATGATTATGATTACTTTGAGCAAAACACAGAGTTTGATACCCAACTGAGACATGAAAAACTGCATTCAGGATACACGCTGCCTGTCATAAGGACATGATTTTTAAGAGCAAAGGGTTGTTTTCAGTCAAAAGATAAGACCAAAGATAAATGTCCTTTAATGTCTAGTTAAGGCACAGTTTCTGGTTCTAGTTTTCCTGGGCTCAAGTCCTTGCTTCGCTGTTTAATGAAATAGATAAACATAGGCAAATTTCTTTTTTACCTATTTTCTCATCTGAAAAGTAGAGATGATTATATCTACTTTATGAGGTTCGTTACAAATATTAAATACTAAGAAAATGATAAATCAGTGTATATTAATGATGACCATAATATTATTATTACCTACCTGCTCAGTAGCAGGTAATAGCTTGTTCTGAAATAGCAGTTTATGACAATAAGATATGTCTTATTTTTATTCAATAATCACTTACACAGTGCTTTACAAATAACACAATCTACACAATAGCCATATGATATATAAACTAATACCCCCATTGTACAGATGAAAACACCTTAAATACTCAGCTCATGAGAAAGTTTAAATACTTAGCTCACTGCCACAGCACTGGGAAATGACAGGAGACAAATTCTAGGTTTTGTTCTTGGAGACCGGCTCCACAGTCCATGTCCAAGGAAACACTGCATTATACTTCTACTTCTCAAAGCTAATAAAATCAAACACTTTAGACCAAATTTATGCTTCAGATATCTTACTAATTTAGATCAGATTGTCCTACTTCTTCCCTTATTACAAATTGTTAAAAGTTTACTACAATTGCAAGAGAAATGGAGATACAGATTATATTCTAAATCTATTTTATTTAGTCTCATCATTTGGATGTGAGGGAAAGTGGAAGCTGTGAAATGGCATTAAAGCTTATTTTCTGGGGATCCTCAACTGAAAGAACATGAGCCAACAAGGCTGGGGATGGACACCACCATGATCCATTAGAGCTTACTGAGTGGGTCCCATGTAACAATCAGGCTAACAATGAGCAGGGGAGAATGAGGGTGACTGATACTTGGGCTGGAGTCCTAGGTCTGAACCAGCCTCAAGGAATGGGTTTCTCAAAAGGTAAACACACAAGATTTTGTCTTCGAACAGCCCAGTTTTGATTGTGAGCTTTCTTTTTTGAAACTTTTCAGCAGGGAAACGAAAATAAAGTGAAGAGAAAAGTATCCCCAGAAAGCTCTTCGTTCCACAACACAAATGCGTATTGGTCTCACACAGCTATTCGCTTTGAAGATTGTCCAAGGTGCTCTGTTTTCTCATAAATGCAATACCTTAGATTTTCCTTCGAGAGAAAAAATAATATTCCAAATATCAGGAGATAATAGCCAAGGAGCTATCTCAACTTCAATAAAAATGTTAATAAAGCATTCATTCCAGGTCCTTGAATTTCCTTTATTTAAAATCACTCAGAAAGCTAAACATAAAGGAAAATCAAAGGAATGCCTCTTGGGTTTCAGCAATAATGCATTATTCATTGAGAAGCCAGGAAGGGAATTATTCTCAGGGTGGAAAATGCTTGGATGGAAAATACATAGTCCCATTATTCATTTACTTGGAAACTAAAAACACACACAAACCCCTTATGAATAAAAAAGCATTCTTTCATGTTTCCTTTCTCCTTTCTGTTATCAAGGCAGTAATTCAGCTCAAACTTAGAGCTTGATTAGACACCAGCAACACATAGATATAGTTTAACTAAAATGATCTTTTTTTGCCTCCCAGGCACCAGAAGGAAACACTCCTTATTATGACATACTTGGTCAATCTGTTTGACTTGTTCAAAAGTGAGAAAATTCAAATAGTCATTTATTGCTTATAATTTTTTCCAATGTTAAAGTTCAAAAAGAAGAAGATCTTTCCAAAAAGAGCCATAGTCTTAGAAATTAGCTTATGGACCTTACTTTTATACCCCAAAACTTACAAGGAGCCCTGTTACACTGGACACAGGAAGGGGGTAACACCACAGCCCATTAGGAGCTAATTCACGTGGACACTTCACTGAGGAACCCAGAGTCTTCTCCTTCACTGAAAGGAATTGTTTGTAGTAGCACGATTAGGCCCAACCACACTGTGTTTTTATCTTTAAGACTCAGTCAAATAATTTCAGTGACTCACAGTACAGACCTCAGAAATCAACATGTAAAACCAATTGCACAGAACTGTCACCGCTTCTTTCTTCCCTTCCTTTCCACATGGGTGTCAAGGACCAAAAGATGAGAATGAACTGCAGATGCGGAGTAAGAGGCCTGGAAAATTCCAAAGTAGTTAGATTCCTAAACCATAGTGAATGAATATTCTGAAACCAAGTTCTCTTGAAATAAGAATTTCTCTGAGTTTCTAAAAACAAAAATAAATCACAATCCCTTTAATAAGAAATAGCCAACCATAATTCAATTGCGTTGTAGGACTTGATGTGTGTATCATGGATGTTTCCAATATGTGGGCTGTAGAGGGTCAAGTGTACACCTATAAGACATGTTAATAAGAAACAAAAGCACAAAAGCCCTCTACCTCAGTGTCTATAAAGTGAAGAACTAACATCTCCCTGCCTGCCTCACAGAGCATGGTGCGGATCGAATTGAGATACAACTTGTAAAAGCCCTCTTTAAACTGCATCTCTACCTGACCACCATAAAAGGCATAGACCCAAGCAGAACATGAAAGCAAGAATTGAACCAAAAAGACCAGGCATTTTGAAAAGCTCTGGGACTACACCGTTGTGGTTATAAGAATCTTAGGACTTGCAATGGGATGTGAAGAGGAAAATAACAAGGTATAGAGAAAGGGAACACATGGAAGCACAGGAGCCCACCTCATTTGCAAGGTTCTCAAGGTTCAGTTCAACTCCTACCAACATGAGGACTAAAATAACATGGTACTCAGTAGAGACAGTGTTGTTGGTAGTTCATTTCCAGCACATTTTTAATAAAGCAATCCCTACAGATCAAGGAACAAAACCAATGAATGATACGGAACAGTATGAAGTAAGAGGAAATACATAGTTATGATTATTCATTGCAAAGTCATAAGCAGATGGGGCAGAAGATAAGATATCCAAGGTCACAAAGGCTTTGTATAACAGGCTAACACTTGAAATATTTTCCAGTCTGGCATTTGTTCTCACCCCTATCCTTGCAGAGTTTCTAAGAAATAATGACTTTCTTGCCCCTGGTCAGAATTTCATTTAAAATATAACATTAGTGACAGAGTGGAAGTGATCATGACAAGGAAAAATATCAGATATTTTCAAATTCCAGAAGAGAAATATCGAGAGCCTACTTCAGGCATCAGTTTGGGGAAAGAGATATAGGAGGACTGGAAAGGTATTTAGGAGGCAGACCCCATTTGATGGTGAGAAAGATGAATCTAACTTCCAGATATTCAATTTGGAGGAAGAAAGGATGGTGGTACCTTTTTCTGAGGGAGGAAATAAAGGGGACAGTGTTGATTGCTGTTTTGTGAGAAGAAGTGAAGAGTGTTGCATGTATGTTTGGTCTGGGCGGTCCACAAGACATCAGATGGAGATGCCTTAAAGGTACCATGATGGCCAGGGATTTAGCTCAGTGGTGCCGATGCCTGCCTTGCAAGCACAAGGTCCTGAGTTTGATCCCTGGTACAAAAAAAAAAGTACCATGATAGGCTCATGGTAGTCTGAGTCTTGGGAAACTTGTCTCTCATTGTGCAGAACATTCTGCTTGATTTGCCAATGTTACAAGGAACATGGGGAGGAGGATATACAAAACATGTTGGCAGGTTGCTTTTCCTTGAACAAGCTTCATTCCTTTCATATACATCTGTCAAAGCAATCTGGGAGGGCCCGATCCCCACAAAAATGGAGGGAGAGGTGCTGGAATGTAGATGCAAAAGGCAGGGACAAGAGTCTGTTTAGAACAACAGGTCACAGCTGCAGACCCAGATCCTGTTACCACACCTTCCCTCAAATCTACACAACCCATCAGCTGAGTAATGCTTACCATCTGGTCTTACAATTTGTCTTTTTTTTTTCTACAATGACTTTTTCCTAAATAGTTGAACTTTACTTCTTTGCTTACATATAGAATACAAAAGCTAAAGTTTAAGAAGAAAATAAAGCCCTGCCAGAGAAGATCTCTAGGGACAGAGCCCAAGATTTTTGATGGGAAAAAAAACAGAAAGCACTTCCAGTCTGGCTGGCAAAATTGTGCTTTTACAAAAAATTCAAACATTCCATGGATCCAAAACATGTCAAGGTAAATCAATTCTACACCAGCACTGTGCCCAAATTAACCTCTCTTTGGCTTCGCTCTTTCTGTTTCTTAAACAAAAGTTATATTTATCTCAGAAGTCGGTGGTGGAGCTCAAGTGAGAAACTAAGTATTTCAATACAGAAGCTGCTTTTTCTAATGCCACTAAATGGTGTATTTTCTCAGGGAAGTATCCCTGAGTCCAGTCAAATTTTAGCTCATCTCTGTAGTTTTATTGTGCTCTGCTATAAAGGTGCATGGTTAGCTAGGAAATCTTGTGTTCCATATCTTAAGCAAAGCTCTTTTAGGTAATAGGCCACAAAATACAAAGCTTATTTCTCGGTCTAACAACTATGGTGTCATCATAATGAGATTATATGTGATAATTTTTTTCTAAAAGCTTTTTCTAAAAGAGTTTTCTAAGGAAAAAAATAAGAACCAAGAGAGTATGTAAAGGTGCATATATCCAATGATGAATGTCATTATATTGTACACCTAAAATGTAA